TCCAGGGTGATCCAGAGTGTGAACAGTGAGTGGTTTGAGGCGCACAGTCGCCATAGCCAGTGGAAGCGAACTGTTTACTTGGGAGCCATATCTCTGAGTTCTGTGTGGGCGCATGGCGCCAGTTTGTTGTTCTGCTGTTCATGTGCATGAAAAGTGTGAATAAGTCGAGTCTGATTGCACTGGTATCGGAGCAGGTACCCGCTGTTCCACGCGAGCCGTCGTGTGCAGGGCCGATGCGCCATAGCTGAGGTGGTAACCGAAGGAGGCAGTCCGCCATAGCGGACCTCGGGTGGAAGAAGCCGCCGCGCACCTGCATCAAGAGGACCACGACGAAGAACAAGGTTGAGAGAGAGAGAGAGATGAGCGATCCACGATTGGTTGTCACTTACCTGTGAGGCGAGTTGCGTAGTCCGGTGGAGAAGGAAGACAGCGGCCATAGCCGCGAAGTATCATCACAGGGTATCGAAGGAGAGAGACAGGGCGGACAGAGAAGGAGGGACCGAAGGAGAGAGAAAGAGAAGTGTGGAAGGAGGGATACCGGAGAAGAAGACAGACATAGCCGGGGGTGCAAAAAAAAAAAAAAAAAAAAAAAAAAACCCTAGAGAAAGTGAAGAAAGAGAAGGGTGAAGGAAGGGGAAGTAAGCGGCGAGGGTGACAAAGGTGACGGTGCCGGCAGCCATAGCCGAGGTGAAGTGTTGACCGGGCGATTGACCAGAGGGTTGACCAAGGGTTGCCCAGAGGGTTGAATAGGCGTTGACCAAGGGTGTTGACCAAGCGTTGACTGAGGGTTGTTCGCGTTGACTCACCGTTGACCAAGGCGTTGACCGGAGTTGCTGACCGAGATTTTGACCAAGCTGGAGTTCGTGATATCTCGTCGAGCCCTCAGCCTCTCCCCTTACCCTGTGGATGTGCACACACCCTACGGTACTTGCTGAGTTGAGTCTGTCTGTCTTTCCTTTTTGCATTGAGTCTCTTCTGTCCTAGGTGTTAGGACTCTGTGGATGAAGGATAGGGCCTTGCTGCCAAACCTGCACGGGACTTAGTAGGACTAATCTCTACTCTGGCATCTGGAGACCTGGGCATGAGCGGCGAGCGCTCGTTAAAAAACTCGTCTAGCCCAATGACCGGTACTGTCCGGCAGGTCTACTCAGTTTCAGTGTAGAAGGTCCGAACTCCGAGCTGTGGGCTGAAACGAAGGCCGTCTTTAAGTGTTGAGGCCTGGTTGAACCACTCCCCTACCGGACCTAGTAAGGTTGATGATCTGTGTCTGACGACTCGACTGTCCCGAGGGATACGAACCCCTCCAAGGACCGGTACAGACCGGCGGGCTGCTCGGCGTGGCACAGTAGGCCGGAAAGGCTGAGTTGTGGGCTGAAATCGCCAGGAAGAGCCACGCTGAGCACGTCGTCCTGACTGCGACGTTAAAGAATTCTTGCGGAGTTTGGGGGATCTCCTTAAATGCCTCCTAATCAGCTGTTGGTTCAGTAGTGACAGCCTTAAGAGTAGTTTTGAGTAGCGACCTTAGAAAGTCAATCAGTAGGTCAGTGTCCGGGTAGGTCTAAGTGGCAAGGAGTGGGACTCTCGTCGTGCACCTTATACCACGATGGATGACTATCTGATGTATGGGTTGCTTGTGGGGTTCTCCCTTTGGGAGACCCTATGGCGTCTCCTCTTTCCTCTGGAATTTTGGCCCACTTTCACGTGTAAAGTAGGGACTCGGGGTGGTACTTCCACCCAACCTTACGCGAAGGAGGAGGAAGAGAAGATGGTCGCCATCCTGCATGAGAGAAAAGAGAAGGAGGCCAAGAAGAAGGCCCTGCAGGAGGAGCAGGCGACAAAGTTGAAGAAGATAGAGGAAGAGATGGCTAAAGAGAAGGAGAGAGTAAAGAAAGAAGAAGAGGAGAAGCTGAAAGAGGTGGAAGAGGAAGAAGAAGAGGGATTGCCACTGGAAAGAAGGAGAGGACAGCACAGTGGCAGCAAGGATGAAGCAATGGAGAAGCGGATTTCGGAGTGGGTCGCCAACTTATCCCTGGGCGAAGAAGAAGAAGTAACTATGTACATCCCCAGGGATGAGAGAAGCTGCTATGAAGAAATGGGCAGACGAAGAAGATGTTCTGAAGCGGCAGGCGATGGAAGATGAAACGAGGATGATGTGGAAACTCGCAATGATGAGGGAGAAGAAAAGAAGAGTGGAGGCGGCCAGCGAGGCGGTTAAAGAGCTGGAGGAGGTGCAAAAACTAACTCTACGATTGACCCCCCAGGTAGATCTCCAACAAAAGGTGGAGATTATTGCCCAAAGCATTGAGCGTTTGGCCCGAGTGCAGGAACAACAATATGAGTTTAGTCAAAGTCAGGACATAGCTGTGCGCTCGATGCGGATGGGATTCCGGGACTTTGCTCGTGAATTGGTAGGCATTGTAGGAGCCGAGGTGAATCATCGCCTCGAGAAGACTGAGCGTTTTTGTGTTGGCGCCATTGAAGGCGTCAAGGTGGCAGCTCCCAAGGAGGGCGAGCCGCGTCCTCGTAGGGAGCCAGTCAAAGTTAAGTTCCCTGGTTCCTACACTGGAAAGAGGGAAGAAAACTTTGACAATTGGGAGGCCAATGTCAAGACCTATGTGCATTTGCAACAGGTCTCCCCGGATCAGCATGTCTTGATTGCGATCCATGCGCTTAATAACGAAGCTGCCAGTTTTGCAAGGTCCCTAGTTCGCGCCGCCAACTGCAATGATGATGCAGTTGCCTATTCGTCATTCACCCCTCTCACTGAGTTTATGAAATTGTTGCGCGAGCGATTTGCTGATGTCACTCGAAGTGTTAAAGCCTCAGACAGGCAGCAGACGATCCACTCTCGCCAGTGGAAGAGTGCCAGGGCACTCAAAAGCAGAATGGATGAGTTAGTGGTTGTACCTGACCACGGGGTCACTGATACCCAGTTGGTTGCCCTCTTCTATCGGGCTATGCCCGAAGCCTTTCGAGGGCACTTCTTCGCGAAGAGCGAAGACCCTGCCACCACCTATGATTCCCTTAGCCGTGAGGTGGTAGCCTTCGAGGCAAAGTCCGCGTCAGTTTCCACTTTCTGGCACAAGGACTTGGACAAAGGCAAGAAGTGGAAAGGCCGCACTATCTTTGGGCAAGTGAAGACTAAGGATAGTCTCGTCCTAACCTTAGACGAGGGTAGTGTGGATGAGATCCCCTACGACCAGATTGAGTGGGGGTTAGAGGAGGAGGACAGCGATGCGGGCCAGGGGAGAACTTACGCTGCTATCGCGGTTGGAGGGAGGCCGCAAGGAGGAGGACGAGGCCAAGGCCAAGGGGGCCGGGCCTCACGGGGCCGGTTTCAAGGCGATCAGGGGGGTGGCGACAGAGGAGGAAATCGCCAAGTGGGAGGAAGGGGTCAAGGTCCCCCGCAAAACCGTCCTAGGAACAGGTCTCCGTACAGGGTAGGAGGTTGGCACCCGGGGTTACCCCAGGGTAAGCCTTGGGAAACTTTGGGTCTGGACCAGAGTTTATGGCAACAACGATTGGACCGGGGCCAGTGCATTTCTGCGGTGACCCGGGCCATATCATCAAATACTGTCCTAAGTATCGAGAGACCCGAACGGCTGCTCAAGGGCCAAAAGGCAGCCGCCGGTAGGGGTAGCAACTGCCCTTACCACAAGGCCATGTGGGGAAAATAGCGCTAGCCGRCAGGAGACTCCCACACCACATGTGCCTATGGCAGAGGTTGCAGGCCGGTGTCTAGATAGCTGTCCAGAGACTGCTTGTGTTAGGGTCTCTCTAGACACCTCCCTCACAGGCGTGGCCGAAGAGTTGAAGGAGAGGATGCCCGCCTGGGCCAAGATGAAAAAGGAGAATAAAGGGCAGCTTATATTGGTAGATACAGAGATTTTTAGAGGTAGAGTTGGTGCCTTAGTGGATAGTGGAGCCACTCGTAGTTATATTAGTAGGAAGGCGCTACAGAAGTTGAAGTCCAAGTTAGCAGACCCTGTAGTCAGTATCCTTGCGGATAATCGCACGATGCGAGTAGAGGACTACGTAGAGGGAGTCCATGCGTATTTCCGCCTAGAGAAGGATGGAAAGTAGAGAAAGTTCTCCATTCCCTGACTCTCCTCGTAGAGGATAGCCTCCCATTCCATAAAGTCTTGGGTATGGACTGGGGAGAGGCAGTCAGGGCCACACTCCACTTGAGGGAGCATGAGTGTAGGCTAGGTGATGTCAAGACTGCGCGTCTGTACCATGTGTCAGGAGTAGATGACTCCTTGGCACATTGCTGCCTTAGTGCTCCTGCACTTGCACGACTAGTGAAAAAGGAGTTGCTAGAAGAACAGGTCTTTGTAGCCTATGTTAGGCCAATCACCGAGCCTAAGGAAGAAAAGCCTATAGACCCTGCTATTGCCAAGTTGTTGGAAGAGTTAAGGACCTAGTTGAGCCGCCGACAGGGACAGTGCCGCGGCCCATCCAACACCGTATTGAGATAGAGCCTCGCAGTATAACTCCTAAGGGCGCTGTGTATAGGATGTCCCCGTGGGAGTTGGAGGAGCTTCGCAAGCAATTGGACGAGCTCCTTGAAAAAGGTTGGATTAGGCCCAGTTCATCTCCTTTTGGAGCACCTGTTCTCTTTGTCCCCAAAAAGGAGGGAGAGCTAAGGATGTGTATAGACTATAGGGGTCTGAATGCTATCACCGTGAAGAATGTTGAGCCACTGCCTAGGATAGATGATCTCCTAGATCGAGTGCAGGGGTGCAGGTATTTCTTTAAGATAGATTTGAAGTCCGGATATCATCAGATAGAGGTCCACCCTGATGATCAGTACAAGACCGCGTTCCTGACTAGATATAGGCATTACGAGTTTCTAGTGATGCCCTTTGGACTAACCAATGCGCCAGCAACTTTCCAACGGTGTATGAATGACCTGTTTAGGCCTTGGTTAGATAGGTTTTTTGTAGTTTACTTAGATGACATTCTAGTGTTTAGTAAGACCCTCGAAGAGCATCAGGGTCATCTCCGGCAGGTCTTGGAGAAGCTGAGGGAAGCTAACTTCAAGATCAACGCAAAGAAGTGTGAATGGGCAAAGACCCAAGTTTTGTATTTCGGCCATGTCTTAGACGAAGAAGGCATCAAGCTCGAAGACAGCAAGATTGCAGCGATTAGAGATTGGCCGACACCGCGTACGTTGACAGAGTTGCGGTCGTTCTTAGGCCTAGCCAACTACTGTAGGAAGTTCGTGAGGAACTTCTCCACCATCGCTGCGCCCCTTCGCAGATTGCTCAGGAAGGAGACCATCTTGAAGTGGGATAAGGACTGTACGTCTGCTACGGAGAAGTTGAAACAGGCGTTGATAGAATATCCAGTCCTTAGAGTAGCCGACCCATCCTTGCCCTTTGTCGTCACTACGAGTGCTAGTCAGTACGGCATAGGTGTTGTGTTGCAGCAAGACGATGGCCATGGTTATAGGCCCGTAGAGTTCATGTCCGCTAGAATGCCTTCAGAGAAGGTCGCGACATCTACCTATGAGAGGGAACTCTACGCTCTCAGGCAAGCCTTAGAACACTCGAAGCACTACTTGCTTGGGAGGCACTTCAAAGTCTATTCCGATCACGAAACGCCGAGATGGTTAAAGACGCAGTCCAAGATGACACCTAAGCTTACTAGGTGGGCCGCAGAGATAGATCAGTACGACTAGCTCAAGCCCGTCAAGGGGAAGTATAACGTAGTTGCGGATGCTCTGAGTAGGAGAGCTGATTACTTCGGGGCAATAGTGCATTACTTAGACGTAGGGAAGGACCTGCAACAGAAAATTAGAGAAGCCTATGCACAGGACCCTGTCTACAGTGACCTCCTTAAGAAGGTCAAGGAGTGAGAATGGGATCCCACTGTCGATAGTTAGCGATAGGGATAGTCGCTTTACGAGCCAGAACTGGCAAGAACTCATGGGAGTATATGGATCTAAGTTGTTGATGTCGTCCGTCCGTCATCCAGAGACTAACGGTCAGACAGAGCAAATGAACAAGATCCTACAGCAAGTTTTGCGCATGTACATTAGGCCAGATCAGATTAACTGGGACGAGATGCTACCTAAAGTAGCTAGTGCGTATAATAACAACGTGCATTTATCCACATGCCGCACTCCCAACGAACTGCACAAGTCCTTTAGACTGCGCAGACCGTTTGAGGGACTCAACCGGGAACAGATATATAGATTACCCCCCGGGACCAGGGAGTTTGTTGTACAGCACGAGAAAGAACTAGCTACTGTTGTAGAGAACCTCAGGAAGGCCCAGCATAGGATGATAGAACAAGCGAACAAACATCGTCGGCCTTCGCAGTTTCAAGTAGGCGACTTAGTCAAGGTCAGTTCTAAGGAGTTTGCACCTGAGGAGAACATCTCGCAGAAGTTACTGCCCACATATAGACGACCGTGGCCCGTTCTAGAAGTCAAGCGCGACGAAGATGGACCTTCCTATACTATAGAACTTCCAGCACACCTCCACACTTACCCAGTTTTCCATGCATCGAAGTTATTACCTTGTCAAACAAGTGATCGATTCCCATCTCGTAGATCGATGATCCCACCGGATACGGATGGAAAATATGACATCGATGGTAGAGTGGTTGAAGATGTTTTCAGAACTGGAGGTAGAGGTCGTCCGCAGAAACAGTACAAGGTTCATTTTAGTTATCCAGAACCGGAAGATGACCGCTGGTTTACGACATCTAAACTTCTAGAGACAGCTCCCGATATAGTCCGGGCCCACGAGAGACAACAAAGAGGTAAAGGTCCTACCTTGGACTGAAATTTTCTCGGAGGACCTCGAATTTAGGCCGGCGGGCGTGAAACGATATTCACCAGTTCGCGGTAGCTGATGCAGATCCCAGGGCTCGATCCATAGTTCCCCATCTTACCTGTGTACAGTACCGGTGCTACCTGTAGGACCGCCAGTGGTAGGTAGCTTCTCGTAGGTCACAGGGTAGAAGGGATTCGAATTGTAGACCTGTAAGGTAGGAGTCTAGACAGTTTAGCAGTCGAAGTTGCAGACTGCCTGAAGGGTCAAGGTCGTAGCTGCTACTTACCTGAAAGGGCAGAGTCGTAGCTGCTACAGTACCGAAAGGCCAAGTTAGAGGTTTCTAGAAGTGGCCTTTCGGAGTGAGCCTGCTTTAAGCAGAAGCAAGTGGTCAAGTGGCGGTAGTCCACCTAGTACAGTCAGCAGTCCCAGTTCACCCAGTCCGGTCCAGTCCAGCAAGTACCGTCTGGGACTGTGTGCACGATGGGCCAGGGGTACAGGGCAGGCCAACACAGCACAAAAGTATAAATCAAGAGGCTGCGCCCAGCCATTCATTCATTCCTGCGGAAACCATGCGGAAGCGCTGCCTCAGCAGCTTGTGCGAGGA